CCGAATAAGACACAGTTACAAGTTACACCGACAGAAAGCTCCTTGAAGATAGTTACATTCTGCCTGTGGTTATTCCCTCTTGGGAACTGTGCTGCCAGTGTTCAGCTCTGAGTTGTTATAGAGCGAGTACCAAGAACCTCTGCAGGCTCTTTGTCTTCTCCCAGCCTCGCTCCTTCCAGCTGATGGCAAGATGTGAGACTCCTTAGCCCTCCCTACAGAGGGGGGTCCTAAGACCCAGGCCTGTGCAGACCCCTGCTTTCCACCAGCCAGACTGGGAACCCTGGGATGGCAGGCCTTCCAGGGACCCTCGATTATCTAGACGGGCTCCAGAGGGCCTCCCTGTGGTACCAGGGGCCAAGCATGTCAGGCCTGGTTTCAAACAGGGATCCTTAAAGTGGTCTATGGCCTGGGTCAGGGCTGGGTTTAACGTCCATGTTTACATGTTGAGGCCATTGGTTCAGAGGCCTAATAAATACCTGGGTATTTAATGAAAGCCTTATTGGTGGCTGTATTAGGGTCTTGGCAGGAAACAGCATACTCAAATTGGGTAATTTAAGGATATTTGAAGAGTGGGTGTAGGAACCCTAAGGGGTGTGTGTTATAGCCCAGAAATAGTAAGGCCAGTCTACCCCAGGCCTGAGGGAGGGGCACATCCAGGCTGCCGTGACCTGCAGGAGGCATATTCCCTCCCTCTCTTCCATCTCCTCCAAGTCCCTGTGGACTGAACGACAGCCAAGGAGCAGGCGGAGGATGGAGAGTGGACTGGAGGGGCAGAGGTGTCCATCGGGGGCCGTCAGCCCCTTCACTTTCATAGGTTGGTTTATAAACATCAGTAGAGCTCTGAAGGTTTGCTCAACAGAATTAGGTGTTACTCTGCCCTGGTTTGTTCTGGGTAGTTGAGTATTTTGAAGCTGTTGTTTGAAAAGGCAACCCTCAGGTTTAGAGCCCCCCCCACTCATGATCACCTGACATGGGCAGTAATATATATTTTTTAAGGTTCCTTGAAGGTTCTGCAAGGCTGCTCCTTGGAGTGGAGGGGTGCAGGCTGACGTGGGAATCAGGGAGAAAGGAACTTGATCAGACCAGAGGTTCTTTCTCAAGAGTCCGGCAGAAAGCACAGAGCTTGCCCCTGAGAAGTGGCAACCCTGAGAGTCATAAATCAACTGGCTCCTGCTCTGAAGCGCATGGGCACCGGCTCCGTGGTGTCCTGCCAACAGCTGATTAAACCAGGAAGCAGTCAGTAACCTGCCCAGTGGCAGTAGTGTATGTTCCCCACCGTCTCAGCCCAGTATACACTCGCTCTCTTTGGCCAGAGAATTGAAAAGGACACCCTTGAAAGGTTTTCTGAAACTTGATACTTAAAAAAAAATTTTTTTTAATGTTAAAAATAAATTCTCCCCTCTCCCCTCCCCTTGCAGAAAGCTGAATCTCCCCCTTGGTTTTTTTCACTGCCTTCAACGCTGTTGATCATTTGGGCCATCTGGCTGGCTGGTGACTCATCGCAACCTCAGGTGTCTTACAAATGGGTGGCATATCTGTATTAAGGTAAAACATCAGTCTCCGAGATGGGGACCACCCTAGAGCTAACGGGAGGAGAAGTGGGGGTCTCGTATGCTCGGCTCAAGGGGGATGGCTTTCAGAAGTAGAAGAAGAGGTGCCCTTGAAATGATTTGAAATTAGTGTGGAGGGAAGAGGGTGGCCAGCTGTGACGATGCAGCACTGGGGGAAGCTGAGGAGATGGCAGACTCAGTGCCAGCTGCACCGCCAGAGGAGGGGCTGGCTGCTTGGTCCAGGGGAGGATGATCCAGGCTTTCGCCCATTGTCCTTGGTTGCTCACTTTAGTGCAGGCATTTCACAAAGGACTGTTCCTTCTCAGGGAGAGAGGGAGGAAAATAAAAGTACATCCCCAGGCAGAGGTGCAGACAGTGGAGTTCTGGTATCGTTGTCCCCCAGTCACTGTAATAGCAGCTCCTAGGGCTTGGCTGCTCTGGGTCTCAAGTCTCACGTGACCGCAGCAGGCTTATGGAACTAGCTCACATGATTTAGGGTGTGAACAAAACTTGTTCAACAGAAGGGTATTTTTCAGTGGGAGAGGTTGTTCTTTGTCTAATAGTTCTCTGATTTAATCCCAAGCAGCAATTTTAAACGCATACTCTTACATATTTCCAGACCATACACATTTTCATTTTCCTCCTGTAATTCAACAAAGAAAGCCAGAGGCAGCCAAATGAGGTGACTCTTTAACTAATGGGTGACCAGTTCCCACATGCATGGGGACATGAGGAGGCTTGAAGCAAGGGTGGGTATTATTAGCAAGTAACCTTTATCCTGCTGTCTTCAGCCCAATGCTTCCAGGAAAATTCAGGGCCCCCTAATCAGCTTGGACATGATGTGAGAGGAGGTCAGGGCAGGACCCTGGCTTCTGAGACCATGGAGTGCTTTAATAGAGAACGTGAGGTAGAAGAGAGAAGGCCAGAAGTCAGTTGAAAGATGATTTTATTCCAGTGGAGGTTACATGTAAAGCCCGTGCTCATCTTGTCCCTGTGTGCTTCCTGAGTGAAAGCATCTAGTGTCTACTTTACTAGCACCACCTCCTCGGTGGCAGCTCTGTCAGTGCCAGTTATGCCTGGGGCCTGAGTCACTGCTGCCCTCCACCTATTGGCTGTGGTCAGCCCAGTTCCAGCTTTGACCCTGGCAGGCTCTGACAAGGAACTTCAGCCCCACTAGCTGATGAAGGCCGGGACTAGTCACCTGGCCACAGACCCAGGGTCCCTGGCAGCCTCTCCCTCAGCTACCTAGACTCATGGCCTAATGCTCCCTGTGCCAGATGCTTTACTAGCATCATTCCCCCATCTGTAGATGAACACAGTGAGGCTCAGAGAGGTTAAGTAGCTTACCCAAGATCACTCAGCTACTGAGTGCCCTAGATAAGAAACCTAGGTCTTCCTAAACTCAGGGGTCCTCGCCCACCCTGCCCTCGTGTTCCCACGTTGAACCTTCACTTTCCTTGGTCTGTTGTCTCTATTCCTCATTCATGGACTGGCTGGAGTGTTGTTCTGAGTAGATGTAATTGCGCAGAACCCTGGCACTGGCCCTGGCCTAGTTGATCTGACCGGTGCAGCTGCCCAGAGCCCCTGCTGGATGGGGCCCATACGGATCCAGACCCTGGGCCACGTCAGGCTCACCACTCTGCCCACGCCTTGTTGGGCACAGGATCTTGGGCTGCTTCCAGGCCTGCCCTGTCCAGTCCATGTCAGTCCCCGGCCCCCACTGCTGAGGTCACTCCAGCGTGACTGCTGCTAATGGGCTTGTCTTTGGACTCAGGGTGGTAGGACGCTGAACACAGCTGGGGGTCAGGAAGCTTGCTCCCAGCCCCACCTGGCTGTGGGAGTCACATAACCCCCACTGTGCTGAGCTTATTTCCTCATCTGTAACAGGGATGATAGGGCCAGAGATTGTGACTCTGCTCTGCCCATGACGCGTCTGGCCCACTCAGTCATGCCCACTTCCCAGCCCACAGATGCAGGGCTGCGCCGGGCTCACAGTGTCTGTAGCAGGGTCATTCAAGGGCACAGTGCACACCCTCTGTTCTTGCCCATGCTGCAGCCACGGCCACGGCCACGGCCACACGGGAGGTGCGAGGGCAGCATCAGCTGAGAGGACGACCTCAGCTTCAGGCTGCCATGGGCTTGACCCCAGAGGAGAGCAACGAAGACAGCCATGCTCTCTGCTTCACCGGACCCCAGCCAGCTGACCCTGTGTACCCCACTGAGAACAGTTCCTGCCCTTGACCGAAAGTTAAAGGGAGCTCGGAGTCTGCAGCTTGGGGACGAAGAGTAATCAGTCATAGGATTCTGATACTCAGCAGAGGCTAGAATTCTGGTTTTGCCACCTCCCAGCTGGGTCACTTTGGCCCAATATTGCTGACACCTTCTCACATCTAAAATGAGAAGACTCTCAGCTGTTGTAAGGATTAGTTAGCCCCAGTATTGTAGGTCAAAGTACCTGGCATATAGCAGATCCTCAACCAGTGTGTTTCTTCCCACTCTTTGCTGTTGCCTGGACAGTCTGCTGCAAAGCCCATCTCCTTCCCCATGGCAGGTACCCACCTTGCCTGGCCCCCAGGCCCAATGCCCATCTGGGCCAGCACCTCCAATTCTGATGCCTGCTGTTTGGTGCGCAGATCTCCGCCTGGGACCTACCCAGACACACCTGACCTGGGCAGGCAGGGTGCAGGGGGCAGAAAGCTGGAAACCCGAGACCCCAGACCAAGCTCTGCCCCTAGCTTTGACCTTTGGGCAAACTACTTCGCTTTTTTCTAAGCCTTAGCTAGAAAAATGGACACCCCAACACCTACTCTGTCTTCATCATGAACATGTGACCAGGTATTCAGAAGCCCTTTAGAAACTGGTTGTGTCCAAAATGTTTCCAGGCGTCTGTGCTCTAGAGTCAGACTGCCTAGGTTTGAGTCCTCACCACCTCCTAGCTGCATGACCACAGGCAAGTTCAGCCTGACTTCTTTCTCTCAACTGACCACAGGGATGACTGTAGTCCTGACCTCATGTCCAGCTGTTGTGTACACTAAGTGGTAACTGGTAATGCATGGAAAACACTGAGAGTTAAGCCTGGTGTGTAATCAGTC